ATTGACATTTCCTTAGTAACTAATGATGTTGAGTATTTTTTTCATGTGCTTATTTGCCACACATACATTTTCTGAATGAAAGTGTCTTTATAAACCTTTTGTTCCATTTAATTAGGTTATTTACCTTCTCATTACTGAGTTATAAGGGTGAGCTTTTTTTAAGATTTTATTTATTTATTTGTCAGAGAGAGCGAGTGGCAGGCAGAGCAGGTAGAGGGAGAAGCAGACTCCCCGCTGAGCAAGGAGCCCGATGCGGGACTCGATCCAGGGACCCTGGGATCATGACTTGAGCCGAAGGAAGATGCCTCACTAACTGAGCCACCCAGGTGTCCCAGGGTGTTTTTTTGTTTTTTTAATGTTCTGGATACAAGTATCAGATATGTGGTTTTCATGTATTATCCCTGAGTCTGTGGCTTCTTTTTCACTTTCTTGGTAGATTTATATGGGGGGGGGGAGGGAGGGGAGCAAAATTACTGGCAAAGAGATCGGCAAGATAAGGGGGAATGAACTTTGCATACACAGAGACAGCAGAAGCCAGGCTGTACGTACCAGAGAGGTCAGTGATCACGGGGCTAAAATTGATAAATACGGTAGAGTCAGGATAGGGACGGCATTTCAAGGCAAGTAGAGGAATTTAGAAGAGATACAGCAAGCAGCAGGGAGCCATGAAGCATTCTCGAGCATGGGAATGGCCTAATAACAATGGAAATTCTACCTGGGGTGGCACAAGAAGGACAGGGGAGAAGAAAGACGAGAGGCAGGGAGGCCAGCCAAAAAGCCGTGTGGCAATCCAGGAGTATAAGTGTGAGACTGTGCGCTGTGATTTTGGCAAATGAGAAGTGAGGGAATATCGTGAATGACGTGGTATTTTAAAGTTAGAAGAGAGAAAGCATCTTGACATATTGAGTATGAGGGATAAAAATAAGGAAAAGGCAATAATTACAGAAAATGAATAGATAGAAGGGATTTAAGAGATCATTTCGTTCTACTCCTCATTTTACTGCGAAGAAACAAAGGAGTAGTGAGTCTACAAGGTCACATAGCACATTCGCGACAGAGTCAGAGGCCATCCAGATCCCTGGGGGCGGACCATGCTGCCACCACAACGTTAACCTGACCTCAGATCTCTGAAGTCTGCAGTCTCTAATCTGGAAACATCTCACTCTCAGCAACTTGTTGGACGTGAGCTCTCCTTGTTCCTACCTTCCACCCCAACTTTAAGAAGAAAACTTGAAGAAGTGTTTCCCTGCGTGCTTTTTTTCTCTACCTACATATTTTTTTCCTTCTTTGACCTGACGGTCACACCACCAGCAGGTTTTAAGATGTAAACCTACACTGTCTTTGTTAGGACAGATGTTAAATCATAGCCACGGCTCCATCTACCTACACGGATGTATCTCCAATCATCATGTGGAGGGAGAGGAAAAAAGCAAGTTGCATAACGCTACTCTTTTGTTTTAGTATCAAAATCTTCAGAAAAAAAATTCTTTGCAATGATTAGGAGCACAGGAACATGTAATAAAAGCACAAAATCACTGAATCCATGAAAGTGATTAACGCTGGGAAGGAAGGGAGGGAGGGAAATGAGACTGAGGAGAACTACCGGGGGACCCTCCTTGCACCTGCAATGTTTTGTTTTTCTTTAAGAAAATGAAATAAAGATATCCTGAAGCAGATGTGGTAGAATGTAGAAATGTGCTAGAGCTAGATGGTGGGTTTATTGTTCTGAAATTCTCTATTATCAGTAAGTTCAAAATGCCTCGCAAGCTTTCTAAAGTTCAAATATGAGGCATCATTCACTATTGCCAGCATTCTCCCTCAATTTCCTATTATTATACTCAGGATTCACATTTACCAAAAATGTTGAAAGTTAAAAACACCAGTGATCAATATAGGCAAATGTTCTCTCTCACAGCCCCTGTTCAAGAGCGTCAGTCTGCCAAATTTCTTCAAGAACGTGTTGATGATAACGGGGCAGTGCTAGAAGTTTTTAGGTCAATGAACTTTGACATAACTTACTCTGCAATCCTCAGTGAGCAACTATAATTTATTAAACAGTGGCAAGAATCTCCAAGGGTCCAGGAAGACAGACATGAGGGCAATTGACCAGAACCAGCACCTCTCACCATGCGCAGTGGGGAGACTTAAGTGAGCAAATGAGAAATATTATGGAACAGATGCTCAGGCAGGGCCCATGTGTGAAAATGCAGGTCACCTGGGGTGGCCAGAGCCAACATTCATCATTGTGTGACACTGTGGCAAACCAGCTAGGCATCCGTCCAGGGCTCAGTGCTACCGAGAGCCTTCTCCTTTCCTGCCTCTCTTACCCCTGAGGACTGCTGGTCCTCCCTGTTGACTCCCCCTTAAACAGTTGTAATGGCAGAGGCAGCCAGAAACAGGAGGACAGTGGGGCCAGGAATTAGGGAGAAGGGTTATGGGAATAGTCTTTACTAGGGAACAATAAAACAACCCACAATTACTGAGGGATTATCAGAAGCCAGACCCTGTGCTAAATCCATGAGATGAATTATCTGATGTAATCCTCACCCAAAACTCCATGGGATAGAGAGTACCATTAGATCCAGTTTACAGACAGGAAAACTGAGGTTTGAAGAATATAAGAGGTTTGCCCAAAGTCACAGAACTATGGAGTCACTCCAGGATATGTCTCATACTTTGTTCCATTTCTCTAGGATAAATAGGGTTGCCTAACAAGGGATGTTTGTATCAACGGTCCTCAAACCTACAACACCCATATCATCCTCCCTAGGCAAAGGCGCTGACAAGCACAGAAAACAGTTTGGGGAAATGGCATGAAAAGCCCTGGTAGGGGAAATGGCAAGTTGATTCAGAGAAATAGTGGATTCAGGATGCCAACCACTTATCGATGCCCCAAATCAGGTGAAACAGTAAAATCACTGGATGATAATGTCATAAGAACTCTGAGGATGCTTTCTTCAGTGTTGCTTGGTTGGCTGGTTGGTTTGGAGCCACAGAACTCTTGTACATGAAATCTTGGGCTGAGGACAGGATGTCAGACAGAAGCAGAGCTGCTCCAGCTGTGGCTGGGGGGTCAGAAAGCAGGAGCAGAGCTCCCTAGGGCACCTCTGCTGGCCAAGCTTACAATCCCTCATCTTACAGATGAGCAAACAAAGGCCTAAAGAGAGAGCTTGATAAGCTAGGGTCATAGAAATATAATTAATATGGCTGACATTTCTTGTGCTTAATTAACTGTGTGCCGGGTCGTTTTAAGTGTGAAACTTAATCCCTACCACAACTCCATGAGCAATGCATAATTATATCACAAATCTACAGATGGAGGAACTGAAACAGAGAGGGTAAGTAAATTGTTCAAGTCAAGTCAAAGAACCAAGATCAAGCCAGACACTTTGGCCTCAAAGACCAGGTGATTCACCATGATGATGCCTGCCCAAGTGAGGGTAGACTGAGTTGGATCTAGAACGCAGGTCCCTGGCTGGTAGACCAGTGGTCCTTCATGTTCCCCACCCTCCATTCAGCATCTGCTCCTGTGGGGTACAATGGCAACATGATTTAGGGAAAGGGTCTGAAAAGTTTCTAAATCTTAGAATCTTAGAAATCTGGAGACACAAAATGTTTTCATAGCTAAAGGTTGTGCCAAGGACATCATTTGCAAATCCGTTTGCCTTCGTTAGGGGTTCTCCTGAGTTCGCCTTCCAAGGAAACACATGGAACTCCAGGAAGACATGGAATCCTAACAAGGGTTGGGAATGATTCCTTGGCATGGTGCTCTCCTATCTCCCAAGCATGTCCTCCCTGACTCTGCCACCTTCCCTCAAAGCTGTCACACATCCTGATAAATGCCCTGCTCCAGATGTCAGGGCCCCACCTCGGTCCTGCTCTGAAAAGAAGCAAGGAGCTTGCATTAGGGTGACTAACCACCCCGGTTGCCCGGGACTCTTCTGGTTTTAGCACTGACTGCATCCTGAGAAAGTCTTCAGGCCCAGACAAACCGGGATGGTGGGTCACCTGATGTCAAGTCTCAGATGACTTGACAATTTCTTGGGCAACAAGTCTCCATGGCCTCAAGTTGACATAAAAAAAGAAAAGAAAAGAAAAGAAAAATCACACTGTAATAGGTAGGAGGCAGGAAATTGCCTGTTTTTCTCTAGTGACAGCAATACTGATGAAAATAGGGTTGAGTGACGAAGGCCAAGTTTATGACCACCCGCAGGCCCCAGAGGCATTCACTGCCTGAGGTTCCTCCCTGACCTAGGGAATCCTGGGAAGAAAAGACGGAAGGGGTTAGTCACACCCTGCGAGTAGCAGCCAAGAGCAGCACTGGCTCCTCACAGAGTGAGCTCAAAGTCTCTCTCATCGGGAAAAGTAGAAGTTTCCCAGGGTCTACTCCCTTTTCACAAAGCCAGAATGACAAATACTGAATGAGGGAAGAGGAGAGGGGGCCAGAAAGCAGAGCCATCTCCCCGTCTTTGGAAAAGTAACTTTCCCAACCCAGCAGATCCCTGAGTCTTCACTGGACTCCAGGAGCAACTCCACTGGACCAACCACCTCAGCGACTCCACATGCCAAGGCCCCCCCAGGAAACTCACCTGGGCCCCAGGACAGACTCGGCTCCCCCGGAATGCAGAAGCAGCCACCCATGTGTGCATCATTCTCCCCAGGCCAAAGGCCCCTGGGAACACCAGCCAGAAAAGCACTGGGAGGGGACAGCCTCCCAACGGTGTCCCTCCTCCCGCCTCCTCCCTGGCACACTAGGGACTAAAACCCAGCTCAATGCACAATGCAGCCTTTGAGATCTGGCTGCCGCAGGAGGCCCAGGGAGGAGGGGAGGGGCAGCCCAGCCCTCAGGACCCAGAGTCCTTACACTGTCAGGCCTCTGACTGGGGAGCAGTGCTCCTCCCTGCCTCTCTGCAGATTGCTTCAGGCCTATCAGGCTCTGGCGCATTCCTCACATTCTAGGACTGAGATACACAGTTAGGTTCCTGTGGGGGAGGTCAGGGTGGGGGAGGAGGGCAGAGAGCATCCCAGGAATCAAAGCTGCTGTTCTTGTTTTCCCCTGACTGACTTGGCCCACACTACCGTGCCTGCCAGTGAGAAAGCCATCCCCACCCAGCCTCTCTCTGCAAGCACCTCCCGCGGCTCTCTGGGTGAAGCTGGAGCTGTGGGCGCAGCATCTCGCCTGGGTCCCAGCAGCAACGGTGAGCCAAGTCCTCACTGGTGAGTGTGCAGGGCCCCAGCCCCTGCTCCTAAAGCTTTGGTCAGAAGGAATGTGGGAAATCGCCTGATGGAGCCCAGCACTTTACAGATGGGAGAGGATGGAGGACCAAGTCTGGTAAGGCTCCGAGTGTGCACAAAAACCTGGTCACCCCAGACCACACTCTTTTCCATTTTGGACAAGGAGCAGAGCCAGAGAATGCAGTGGACACAGTGCAGAAAACCTCCCGTGACATCTTCCACACGAGGCAGAGAAAATATGGTTGAATGTCCACAAGACTGGGCAGAGACATGACTGATCTAACAACCAAGCTCACGGATCACTAATTACGTATTATTTTCTTAACGCCTAGAGCAAAGTTCAGTGGTGAGTGGACCAAAGCGGGAGGCGGGGCGGCCGAGAGGAGGCAGAGTCCTAACCGCGGCCGTGCAGGCTACGTGCAGGCTACGTGCAGGCTGGACTGGAGGTCAGTCTCGCGTGCGTTTCAAGGAGGGAGGTGGCCTGGCCACATTTATAGTCTGGGAGGAGCACTGGGGTGACAGTATGAAGGATAGCCACGGGGCGGTCTCCCTGCAGTGGTCACGAGTGTCCACTGCACACAGCAGCTCAGCCTCAGGTGACAAGAGTCTGGCTTCAGTTTCCATGCTGACTCATCTTGACTCCCAGTCCCTGAATGTTGGCCACGGGAAGGCACTCACTATACATGACTTCCTTTAAATCCCATAACAGCCCCATAATGGAGGCCCTATCAGCTCTATTCCATAAGTGAGGAAACTCGTGAAGAGGGGCGTATAACTTGTCCAAAGCCCCGCTATCTACAAACGTCAGATTCAGGACTAGAGCCAGGTCTAATTGACTCCGCAGCTCGGGAGCTTCACTTTTCTAATATACAAGCTCTTGCCGTGACCACAGTGAAAAACAATTCGATGATCTGATAGTGAACCCTCAAAGCTTGCTGATCACTATGGAAAGCCCAGGAGAGGAGGGCTAGGGCGGGGGCAGGGGGGGCCGGGGGACAGGGTCTCTCCAATTACATGGGGGATCACATAGGAGATCACAAGGGGGATGTTTCCTCTGTGCACATCTGTTTAAAGTATCCACTTCCCATAATGTCCCATGCCTTTTCCCTCACCAAAGCAGTGTTTTAGGATGTTTTCATGGACTTAAGATAAAAGAGCAAGAGTTTCTTTAGAAAGCAGTCACTCAAAATTTTGGGACATACATGAGAATCAGACAATGAAGAGAAACCATGGTTTAACGTGCACATGATGACAAATGCTCAGACTTATCATTTCTCCTTGACTAGCCTGCACACCATTCTTACACAGGTGCAGCAACAGAGATCCAAAATTGCAAATGACCAAGACCAACCAAAGGAAACCCATCTGTCCCAGATGACACCCTGAGGCAGTTGGCTGAGACACACATTTTGGCAAGTCCATTCTGGATAAAGTCATTGCTTCTCTTGAGATGCAAGAAACTAGTGCTATCTTGCATATGGGTAACTCAGATGAATTAGCCTGAACAAAGGGCTTTCCAGGCAGAGAGAGCAGCAGGTGCAAAGGCCCTGAGGCTGGACCAGGGGTGGCAAGTGGAAGGAAAAGCATGTGTGGTTGAGTCCATGAGGCAGGGCAGGGTATAGAGATGAGGTTGGAGAAAGCAGTTGGAGGCCAGATTGCATAGGATCTTGAAGGCCTCTAAGGACTTCAGCTTCTACTGTGAGTGGGATGGAAGACAATGGAGGATACTAAATAGAGGAGTCTCATGATGGACTTATGGCTTTAAAGAGTCACCCTGGTTGCTCCTTGAAAAATAGGCTGGAGGCGCCTGGGTGGCTCAGTTGGTTGAGTGGCCGACTCTCGATTTCAGCTCAGGTCATGATCTCAGGGTCCTGGGATCGAGCCCTGCATTGGGCTTCACACTCAGTGGGGAGTCTGCTGGAGATTCTCTCTCTCCCTCTCCTTCTGCCCCTTCCCCCTGCTCACTCGCACATGCTCTCTCTTTCTCTAAAATAAATAAATCCTATTAAAAAAAAAAGAAGAAGAAGAAGACAAAAGAAAAATAGGCTATAGCTGGGATTCCAGGTATGCTGCAATTGTAACATCCAGAAGAGAGATAATGATGGCCTGCGCCAGAGTGACAGCAATGGAGGTCTCAAGAGGGGCTTAGGTGTTAGACATACTTCTGAATGAAGAGTATATTAATCAAGGTTCTCCAGAGAAGCAGAATCAATAGGGTATAAATATATCTGTGGTACAAGGAGGGCACTGCCCCACCTAAGAACCCCCTGCTAGGCTTCAGGCAATGAGAACCATGGTGCCATGTTCCTCTGGTAAATAACCAGACATTCTGGTTTGTCATAGAAATCAGACATCAAGATTCTAACTTGAAGTTCCCAAACTTTTTAATGGTCACAAACTAGGCTCGCTTCAGCAGCACATATACTAAAACTGGAATGGTACAGAGATTAGCATGGTCTCTGTGCAAGGATGACATGCAAATTCGTGACGCATCCACCGTTTTGAGCATTGTATAGAACTGTTGAATCAGTATATCGTTCACTGGAAACTAACATATCACTGTATGATAATTATACTTCAATAAGAAAAATAATCAAAAAATGAATACTCACAGACTAATTCAGAAAATCTCCCAAAGCACTGTGTAGGCTAATACTTCAGAGCAGACAAAAATGCCTGTAGGCCAAATCCAGCCCAAAAGCAGCCAGTTGGACCCTTCAGATGTAAAATTGAATTTTTCTTCCTTGCGAAATTCACAATCTAGTTGGGATAATAAGATATGCACTGGGGAACTATAATTCAAGGGGAAAAATGCAAGACTATGTCATGGGTGGAATTCTGTCCCCTCCAAAAATGATATATTGAAGACTTAACCCCCAGTACCTCAGAATGTGACTCTATTTGAAAATAGGATTGTTGCAGATATAATTATTTAAGTTAGGTTCCTAGTGGAATAGGGAGGGCCCCAATCCAATATGACTGGTATCCTTATAAAAAGAACACCCTGTGCGGACAGACACACAAGCAAAAACCCCAGCAACAATGAGGGGAGTAGAGTTACAAATCCACAAGCCAAAGAGTGCCTGGGATTGCCAGCAAACCACCAGAAGTCAGGAAGAGGCAAGGGATGCTTCTCCCTGCAGGTTTTTCAGAGGAAGCAGAGCTATGCAGACACCTTGATTTGGGACTTCCAACCCCCAGAACTATGAGACAATGTATTTCTGTTGTTTGGGCAGTTTATTAGGACAGCCCCAAGAAACTCCACAATGCTGTGTTTTTACCTCTTGGAGTTCTGTTTGGGCATTAGATTTGTGGTCAGAAGACCGAAGTTCAATTCCTGGCTCTGCCATTTCCAAGTTGGATGCTATTTGGCGTAGTCTCTCCTTTGCAAATAACAATGATGGTAATAGTCACATCGAGATCACAAAAAAAGTTCTACCTCACAAAATGATTGTCAGGATTTAAAAGGAGTTTATAGGGGTTGGTTTTTTACTTGTGCAATTCTTGCACATGCGCGCCCATGCGCACGCGCATGTGTGATCACTGTTATGCTAGTTTTTGGCATATTGTCCATGCGTCCGGACTCTGAAGAAGAAGAGACATCCTTAGTGAGTAGAATGTGCCTATCAGCCACAGAGACAAAAATCTCAGTTCCAATCAGAAAGCTTACAAGGAAATGCATCCAAGTAAAATCAGGTCTGCCTGTCCTCAGATAATCAGGAAGATACCTTTCACTACCTCAGACAAAGGCATCCAGCTCAGCCACCCTAGCTGCATTTCTCTCCTTAATTCTCGACTGGTCAATGTTTTTGATAGACATGAGTTTTGCAAACAGTTTACTTAAGAAAGAAAAATGAAACTTCATGCTCAACTGTTTTCATTGCTATGGTATTTGGCTTTTGTAATTTTGTAAATCGGTTTCAAGCAAAAGGAAATGTATGTCTCTTTTCTAGGTGTTTTCACTGATAAATTTCATTGGGTGGCCTTCAGAAAGTCAATCATTTCCTCTTTAGTGCTTTCCTTATGAAAAGTCACTTTGTGTCCCCATCCATTCAGGTCTTGTTCACGTGATGACCTTGTTCAAGTTCCTCTGGTAGTGGGGTCCCCAGATCTCCAACCAACTGCCCAACAGAGCTGTGTGTTCTGTACACAGCTCTGAGGCACTGTCCCCTCCTTCGTTTCACATATTGTTCTTCTGCTAATGGATCCCAAGCTTACATCAGCCTACAGGAGTCAGAAGATAGCTCACATTCTATCCACTTGGAGAGATTTATCAAGGTTCAGATGCCTAGATCTTACCCAGCCCCAGTGAAACAGAATCTCTGATTAGACCCATCCCATGTAATTCTGATGTGCATCCAGATTTCAGCAAATAATGCCCCAGGGGTTTCTTTTGCAGGGATGAGGGACAGGCCCAGGTGTAGATTTCAGGGGTCTAGATGTCCATCTAGTTCTCCTTTTCTTCTGATCTACGCCAAAGTTTTTTGTTGTTTTTTTTTTAAGATTTTATTTATTTATTTATTTATTTGTGTGAGAGAGAGAGAGAATGCACAAGCAGGGAGAGTGGCAGGCAGAGGGAGACACAGGCTGCCCGCTGAGCAAGGAGCCCAATGTGGGACTAGATCCCAGGACCCTAGGATCATGACCTGAGCCAAAGGCAGAGGCTTAACCAGCTGAGCCACCCAGGCGTCCCTGATCTATGCCAAAGTCAATTAAAAGCCTTAACCACAAGGGGGGACCACATGCAGGGACTCTGCCTCTCTCAATGAAAAGAATGTGAGGGGGCAACTGGGTGGCCCAGTCGGTTGGGTCATGGACTCTTGGTTTCAGCTCAAGTCGTGATCTCAGGGTCGTGGGATCAAGCCCCAAGTTGGGCTCCATGCTCAGCATGGAGTCTGCTTGAGATTCTCTCTCTCCCTCTCCCTCTGCCCCTCCCCACTGTGTTCTCTCTCGCTCTCTCAGATAAATAAGTAGATCTTTAAAAAACAGAAAAAAGAAAAGAATGTGAGAGGGTCCCTCTCATCCTCAAGGTTTAGCATCCACAGATAACAAAAAAATGACGTAATTATTTAAGAGTTCCCTGTTGATGAAATCCTCCATCTTACTATATCCTCACACCTATATTAGTAACATAGGAGTTGGACCTGCCATTTTGTAAGCAATGAAAGTGTTCTGTGAGAGTGATCACGTGACTTCTCCAAGGTCTTATGGCTAGTAATTGACAGAAATAGCTTTCTCAAACATTCCAGCCAGCACCAGCACATACAGTAGGCTTCACCACTTAAGAGAGCCAGGAGGATATAAACCAGACACATATACACAGGATCCCAACCCCCAAACCCTCCCTCAAGCAACACCTGTCTAGTAATAAAAATCAGAATTATCTTAACCTCCACAGAACCACATATGTATAGAGGTCAAGCAAACGAGTACAACAAGTTTATCATCCATGCACTTAATTTAAAAGGTTTCAACAATATGTGAACATCCTGGGAAAGTAGGAAAGGAAAACCATCTAAACACAATGGGCCAATGCTTCTCAAACTTTAATATGGATATTAATTATCTGGCATGATAGGCAGAATAACGCCACCCAAAGATGTCCATATCCCCAGAGCCTGGGAATATGTTACCTTACCTGGCTAAAGGGATTTTGTTGATAGGATTAAGTGAAGGAATTTGAGAAAGGGACATTATTTGGATCATCTACATGTAACCACAAGGGAGGTGGGAAGGTCAGAGTCAGAAGAAGACACGACAAGGAGACTAGAAGCCAGCGGTCAGAATCAGAGAAAGTGATCTGAAGATGCTGTCTCAGTGCTGGTTTCAGATGGAAGATGGGGCCACAAGGCAAGGAATGGGGGAAGCCTCTAAAAGCTGGAAAAGGCGCAGAATGGATTCTCCTCTAGAACTTCCAAGAGGAACACGGCCCCGCCAACACCTTGATTTTAGCCCAGTGAGAACCACCTGGGACTTCTGACACCTGGAACTCCAAGATGATAAAGCTGTGTTGTTTGAAGCCACTAAGTCTGCATTTGTTGCAGCAGCCATAGGAAATGAGAGACCTGGGAACAGGTAAAATGCAGATCCTAATCCCAGGTCTCCTCAGGGGTGAGAAGTCCTAGTGGGAGCTTGCAGGTGGTTCCCATGCACTGGTGCTTAGACCACGCAGAGTCGAGGCCATCAGAACTCCCCCGCTGCTGCTCCTTCAGTGTCTGGAGGCTTCAGTGAGCATGCCCTGCAGACCCCTCAGTCCCTCACCTCTGACTGCCCCAGCGTCTGTCCCACTGCACACGGTGCGGACCTCGGGTCAGCCTTGTTTTCAGTATCACCTACTCTGAGAGGTACCTCCTTTTATTCTTATTTCTGCTCCCTGCTTATTTACTTGAGTGATTATAGTCCTAAGTCTGGGTGTTTATCATCTCCCCCCTCACGTTTCTGCTGCCCCGTTCCCACCATGCAACACAGTGCCTGACATAGAATAGGCACTCTTATGGGAAGAAAGGAAGGAAGGAAGGAAGGGAGGAAGGAAGGAAGGAACTAAAAAATTAAGGAAGCTCTTAGTTCTTTTTTCAAATAGATGCCTGACCAAATCTCTCACAACTTGTATTTGTACAACTGAATTTGTTTTAAGCTACCTAATCCAAAAGTTTATACTGACCCAAGAAGCTTAATTTTCTCAGACTGGCCTCTATGTTCCAAACAGATGAGATCAATCTGAACACTGATCTTTTCCATCCCTGTTCAAGATTCCTCCCCCAGTCTGAAAAGCCTGCTGCGGCAGGTCAGTTCCCAAGAAGCAGACTCTGAGAGGAACACTGGCAGGCAGGAAGCTTATGGG